TTCACATAGCCAGTAGCACAGCTAAGATTGGCCCTGAACGGGTCCCTCAGGCTGGACCTTCCACCAGCCAGGACAACAGCACGGTGTTCTCAGAACCCACCTTTACTCAACAGCACATCCCCTGTCCCCCCTCTTTCTCAACATGGTCCAGAAACAATGGGGAACGCCTGGCATCTTCCCCTCTCGGGGGGACAGATAAGAAGCTGTTTGACGTGCTAGATGTCCCTGTTGTGGATGAATCTTTAACTCCACTATTCTCTTCTTTCATGGTGTCAGGAGATATGGTGGAGGCCTTGAACGCGGAGGACAGGAAAGCGGAACTTACCTTCCACAGAACTCACCAAGCCTCAGCATGGGCGGTAAAAGCGGCTACATCCACCTCCTCCGCCAGGACTTCTCTTCTCTGGCTCCACCAACTGCAGGCTAGAGTCCCGCCAGAAGAGGTACTGATGCACCAAGATTGAACAAATTAGTGATTGCCTCAGAGTACATGGCAGATGCATCACTAAATGCCGCCAGATTTTTATCTTGAGCAATAGCCTCTAATGTCACCGCTTGCAGACTCTTGTGGCTTAAGCAGTGGCGAGCAGATGTCAAGTCCAAATGGCGTTTAGCTGTTGCTCCTTATCCCGGTGGATAGCTATTTGGAGAAGCCCTAAATCCTTATCTGATAGAAAATAAGGACAATCATAGGGTCATGTCCCATCTCTTCAGAAGGGCAGATAGGAGGTCTACCCCCTACTCTCGCAGGCAGTTCTTTCATTCCGGATCTGGCTCGGAGCCTGCTCAGTTTTCCTGTTCCTTTCCTCCCAGACCAGACCGTCAGTTCGACCGATCCAGCAACAGGGATAGATCCAGTCAGCAGTTTTAGGCAAAGTGGCCCTTTTGAGGCACAAGAGACCGCCCTTTGAGATGGTCCACGTGACTACAGGGAGGCTTCTCCCATAGGTTGGCCCTCTTCGCACACAAATGGGAGACCACCACCACGGACCTTTGGGTCCTCAACACCATCAGATTCGGCCTTTCTCTGGAGTTCATATCCAGCCCCCCCCAAGGCATTTTGTCTCTTGCCCATTGTCCAAAAATCCGGTCAAAAAAGGCCTCATGAAGGAGACCATTCAACATCTCTTGGAGATACGGCCCATAGAGGTAGGACAAAAGGGACAGGGGTTCTATTCCATTCTTTTCGTGGTTCCCAAGTCCTCAGGAGGATGGAGGGCAATCCTCGATTTAAAGGGATTAAATACTCACTTGGCACACAAGAAGTTCAAGATGCAAACGCTCCAATCCATTTTGGCTGGCATCAGAAAAGGGGACCTCCTGACATCCATTGACGTCACGGAGGCGTACCTGCATATTCCCATCCTTCCCGGACATCGGAAATTCCTCAGGTTCTGCTATGCAGGCCACCACTTTCAATACAGGTCCCTACCCTTTGGCCTATCATCGGCCTCCAGGGTGTTCACAAAGGTCCTGGCGGCACTAGCCGCACATTTGAGGTCTGTTCTGGTTCGTGTCCAGTGTTACCTGGACGACATCCTTATTCAATCCTCCTCGATCCAGTCGGCTCAGTCAGACCTGGCACTGTCCGTCAAGACCCTCCAGGATCATGGGTTTTCAGTAATTTTCCAGAAGAGCCAGACTGTTCCTTCCACCCACCTTCTACACCTGGGCGCGGTGATAGACACAAGGAAATGCGAGGTTTACCTATCTCAGGAATGGCAGGACAGCATCCGAGCCCTGGTCATCCAAGTTCAAAGGGAGCATGTACACCCTGGCTATGCTTTCCCAATTATTAGGAAAGATGATTTCCTGCATAGCAATAGTGCCTTGGGCCAGACTACACTCCAGGAACCTGCAATGGTTCCTCCTCCTATTCCAGAGGCTGGGCACCAGTTCTTCCAACCAAAGAGTAAGGATTCCATCTCAGACGCTAAGATCTCTCCAGTGGTGGGTCTCCCCAGCAGTAGCCAGAGGAACCTTGTTCAAGGAACCCACCTGGCTCACCCTGACTTTGGATGCCAGTTTGTTCGGCTGGGGAGTGCACCTTCAATCACAGTTGGCTCAGGGCCGGTGGTCCCGGTCAGATCTGAAGCACAACATAAATTGATTGGAACTCAGAGCTATACATCTGGCTCTGCACCACTTCTGCAGCACAGTGGTGAGACAACATGTTCTAGTCCTCATGGACAATGTGGCGGCGAAAGCCCATGTAAATCGGCAAGGGGGTACCTGTTCCAGGTCCCTTATGGCTGAGGCTCAGTTGTTGGGAACCTGGGCAGAAACCAACCTTTCCTCCCTCAGGGCAGAGCACATCTTGGGAAAGGCGAATCGGCAGGCGGATTTCCTGAGCAGGGTGGATCACTCCGAGTGGCTCCTGCATCCAGATCTCTTCAGAGAGATATTGGAGAGATTCGATCATTCAGTACTGGATTTCTTCGCCACTCTGGCGAATTCCCAGCTCTTGAGGTTTTTCTACCGGTTCCCATTCCCAGGGGCAGAAAGGGCAGATGCCCTCTGCAGCCCATGGCCCAGAGGTCTGCTGTATGTATTCCCTCTGCTCCTGTGAGGTGATACTTATTGCTCCACACTGGCCAAGACGGCCATGGTATGTCGACCTCATGAGTCTTTCTATCTCTCCTCCATGGAGGATACCTCAGGATCAAATCTCCCTCAGCCAGAGGACACTGCAACATCCAGAGCCCCAGTGGCTTCAGTTAACCGCCTGGCATTTGAATGGTGGTTCCTGACACAAAAGTCCTCGTCAGATATAATTACTGTGATTCAGGCCTCATGAAGGCCCGCAAGAAACAGAATTTATGACTCCATGTGGAAAAATTTCTATAACTGAGCCGAGGTGGCGCAGCAGTTAGAGTGCAGTACTGCAGGCCACTTTAGCTGACTGTGTTCAGCTGGTCAGCAGTTCAAATCTCACCGGCTCAAGGTTGACTCAGCCTTCCATCCTTCCAGGGTAGGTAAAATGAGGACCCAGATTGTTGGGGACAATGTAAATATATATATACATTGCTTACTGGTGTACACCGCTTAGAGAGTGCTTGCACTTAAAGCGGTATATAAGTCTCATAAATAAATAAATAAATAAACTGGTGCGCAAAGCATCGGTTAGATCTCTCAGCAATTACCGTTCTGAGAATTCTGGATTACAGTATTTACTGGAGGGGCTCAGGAGGGGCTTAGCGCCCAACACAATCCGCAGACAAGTGGCTGCTCTGTCCATGATGCTTACATGTGGCAATTCAGAGCCTTTGGCTCAGCATCCAATGGTGTACTCCTTTGTCAAGGGGGTAACCAACACTAAGCCACCCGTGGTTCACAGATATCCCTCTTGGGACCTGTCCAGGGTCTTACAGGCCCTTACTTCACCTCCTTTTGAGTCCATCAGAACCTGCACTCTACGGTTCTTAACACTTAAGGTTGTCTTTCTGATAGCTGTTACCTCGGCTAGGTGCATTTCTGAACTGGCAGCTCTTTCTATCAGAGATGACTTATGTGTCTTTTATGCTGACAGGGTGGTCTTTTGATTGGACCCCTCCTTTGTTCCCAAAATCAATTCATTGTTTCACAGGTCACAGGAAGTGGTGCTGCCAGATTTTTGTCCTCAGCCGTCTCACAACTTGGAACGTAAATGGCACACCTTGGATATTCGCAGGGTCTTGTGTCAATACATTAAGCGAACCACCTCCTTTTTCAAGTTGGAAGCCCTCTTTGTTTCATTCCAGCCCTCTTCAATGGGGCAGAAAGTGACTGCCTCCACTATCGGCAGGTGGATTAGGGCTTGCATAGCATGGGTGTACCAATCACATTCCCTGCCGGTTGCAAGTCATATCACTGCACATTCCACTTGCAGTGCTGCGACCTCAGCGGCATGGGCGATACAGGCGTCAATTGAGGACATTTGTAAGGTGGCAACGTGGTCCTCGCCTTCTCCTTTTGTGAGGCATTATAAGTTCGCCTCTGTAGAAGTCTCATTTGGCAGGAGAGAACTGCAGCAAGTAGTACCAAAGAGTGGGACACAGGCCCAAACTACTTCCCTCCCACAGGGACAGTGAGGCTTTGGTATATTCCATTCGTGAATTCTCCATCGTTCATGCTGGAGAAGGGGTGTTTTCTTACCTGAACACCTTTTTTCAGCATAAAGATGGAGAATCCACTCCCACCCCTTAAAGTCCGTCAGGTCCTGTGTCAGGGGTATTTGAGCCACCACGTTGAAATGTCAACAGCTGCACCTTCATCGTGACTGGGGACTCCTGATTCAGGAGTGAGGCATGGCAAAGTTTGACTCACTTAGTCTTAAAGGGCAGGAAAACAGAGTTAACCCATTCGTGGATTCTCCATCGTTATGCTGAGAAAAGGCGTTCAGGTAAGACAACGCCCCGTTTGTGAATTTAACATGCATCATCTGCAATATATATCTTAAATATTGTATATTATTAATGATAATGTACTAATCTGACCAAGAATGCATAAAAATGTATGAAATAAAACACAAGTTACAGTTTTAATTTTTTTCATACTGTTGACTCTAGGAGGATCAGCATCCACAATATGATTAGTTTCCATGCAATAGATTATGCAGTTTTAAGTCACAGCTCCAAAACACAAAATGAAAAACCAGTGGGTTTTGTTTTTTTTCATATGCTATAAATGACTTGGATTTGTTTACCACTTTAGTTACATATTGAATAAATCTTCTGTATTCTCTCTTCTTTAAAATTTTATTTTATGGCAAAATATTTGTATGATTATAATCTGCAATTAAGCTAGGAGTTAGGAATAAGGATAGCCTGGAGTAAATAGAATGTGTATTAGATAACTCCTGAAGCATTCATTAGCCAAGGCTTAGAAAAAGGGGCGGCTATAAACTAATAGAAAAATGGTTAAATCATTACTAAACTGCTTATTAGTTGCTATTTTTATATATCCTGCCTTCTGTGGTAGTGAAATTTATAAAGCTTTCTTAATTCTATTGTTCAGGATTTCTTGACATTTTTGGCCAGGACCCCTTTTCAATAAAAGGAAACAAAAGCTGCACCTCGTATCTGGTGTTCTTCATTGGCTTCACTAGGCTCAGACCCAAACTGGGGACAGCAATCTGGGGGCTCATCCCAGAATTCCACACCTAGATTTGATTGGAAGACATCAATAACCACCAGAGGAAGACACCAATAACCACCAAATGGGTAAGACTAGTGACTGAAAGGTGTGTGAAAGGTGATCATGATTGTGTGTTTCTGCATATGTCAGCCACATCCACAGCCCATGAGTTTTTGGCAATAACTGGGTACTGTGGAACACAAGGGATGTTGCAGGAATCTGCATGTCCCACCAACACATAGAATAGATTGATTGAATGTAATAAGCCACTGTCTAAATCAGTGGTGGTGAACCTATGGCACGGGTGCCAGAGGCAGCACTCAGAGCCCTCTCTGTGGGGAGATGGTTGACATATAAAATTAAAAAGGAAAAAGAGAAGAGATGGATTAAACAATTGGAAGATGCTGAGGGGATTTTACAACATCGAAATGAAGAAAAGAAAAAAATAATCTGGGAATATTATGAGAACTTATACAAACAACAAACAGTTTCAGATGATAGGATAAAATATTTTTTGGAAGAAACAGAGATACCTAAAATGCCGGAGAAATTGAAAAAGCTATTAGAAGGGGAAATAACAATGATGGAATTAATAGAAGCAATCAACAGACAAAAAAATGGTAAAACACCAGGACCGGATGGACTACCAGCAGAGCTATATAAGACATTGCAGGAAGTACTAGGTAATGTAATGTTGGAACTTTATAATTAACTTCTTTCTGAAGCTAAGATACCAGATTCGTGGTCCGAAGCTCTTATTACTCTCACACCAAAGGAAGAAACGGAAACACAGAAAATAAAGAACTACAGGCCGATTTCCCTACTGAATGTGGACTACAAAATATTTGCATCAATAATAGCGGAAAGACTTAAAAAGTTTTTAAATGAATTTATACAATAGGATCAAAATGGCTTCTTACCCAAAAGACAGATTAGAGACAATATGCGAATTATATTGAACACACTAGAATATTATGAAACACACCCTGAGAAACAGATTGCATTGGTGTTCCTGGATGCACAGAAGGCATTCGACAATGTGAACTGGCAATTCATGATAAGCCAATTACAGACTATGGATTGTGGGGAGAAATTTATAAATGTAATCAGAACATTTATAATAAGCAATCAGCCAAAGTAAATGGATATATGACTGAGAAGATCAATATTATGAAAGGAACAAGACAGGGCTGTCCCCTATCTCCATTGTTGTTTGTTCTGACATTAGAGGTATTAAATAGACGTATAAGACAGAATAATGACATAAAAGGGATGAAAATTAAGAGGGAAGAATATAAGCTATAAGCATTCGCAGACGATTTAGTATTTATTTTGGAGGAACCATTAGAGACAGGACCTGTATTAATAGAACAAATAGAAAAATATGGTGAGGTAGCTGGGTTGAAAATTAATAAAGATAAAACCAAAATGTTAGTGAAAAATATTACTGAAAAAGAAAAAAAAAGAACTGGTGGGAAAATTAGATATACAGATTGTAAAAAAGGTAAAATATTTAGGGACCCACTTGACAGCAAGATGCACAACAATTAAAGAGGATAATTATCATAAATTGAAAAGACAAATTGAAGTAGATTTGGATAAATGGAAAAATGTACAATTGTCATTAATGGGAAGGATTGCGGTAATCAAAATGAATATATTATCACGATTATTGTTTTTGTTTTCAACAATACCAATAAGATTAGATAAGAAATATTTTGAGGGGCTTTATAAAATAATCTTGAAATATATTTGGCAGGGAAAAAAGGCAAGGATTAATCTAAAAATGTTACAAAATACAAGATTGAGAGGTGGGTTTGGTCTACCTCAGGGGTAGGCAACCTTGGCTCTTTTATGACTCATGGACTTCAACTCCCAGAATTCCTGAGCCAGCATGGCTCAGCTTGGAAACTCTCCCTTTCCCCTCAGCATGGCTGGCTCAGGAATTCTGGGAGTTGAAGTCCACAAGTCATAAAAGAGCCAAGGTTGCCTATCCCTGGTCTACCTAATTGGGAATTGTACTATCAGGCTGCAGCATTATCATGGATGAGAGAATGGATCTTACTGAGGAATACAAGATTATTGACATTAGAGGGACATGATTTACAGTTGGGATGGCATGCTTTTATATGGTATGGAAAAAACAGAATACATAGCTATTTCCAGAGACACTATATAAGGAATTTTTTATTTGTGGTCTGGGAGAAAGTAAAGAGAAAGCATTAATTGAAGATTCCAAATTGGCTTTCAACTATGGAGGTGCTAATATACCCCAATATGTTTAGCATGGGAAACATTATAAGATATAAAGACTTACTAACAGATATGGGGGAGTTGAAAACCAAGCAACAATTAGAGGAACAAGGAATAAAGATGGATTGGTTCAAGAGAACGCAAATACAATCTAGATATGAAAAAGATGTTAAAATAGATGGTGTTAATTTGGGGACAACAGAGTTAGATGAAATACAGAAACGGAAGAAAAATGGATTAAAAATGTATAGTTATCTACTACATATGGAGTTAGAGAAGGAACAAGTGAAAGAGACAATGATAAAATGGACAAGGAATTTTGGATACACAATTGAATTATATAGATGGCAGCAACTATGGGAAAGAAACTATAAATTGACAATGGCGACTGCGTATAAAGAAAATATGTACAAAATGTTTTACAGATGGCACATGTCTCCAGAAAGATTAGCTAAGATGTTTAAGGACAGGTCTATGAAATGTTGGAAATGTCATCAGATACCAGGTTCCTTCTACCATACGTGGTGGACGTGTGTAGAAGCTAAAACTTATTGGAATATAGTTAGAACATGGATAGAAAAGATGATACAACAACGTATAGAACTAAGACCAGAAATATTCCTATTGGGTATTCTACCAGGGAAATACAATAAAGAGAAAACATATTTAATTATTCATATAATCACGGCAGCCAGGATTGTGTTTGCACAAAATTGGAAAGCACTGAAAACCCCTCCCCCAGAGGGAGAGGTGATTGGGAAAATACTGGAATGTGCAGAAATGAGTAGACTAACAATGACAATTAAAGATAAGACAGAGTCAGACTACTATGAAATCTGGGGAACTTTTTATGATTGGCTGGAAAGAATATGGTTAAAAGATAGTTAACATCAATTTAGATGGAAGGAGCAGATAAGGAGGGAGACCCAGGGGACACAGTATTAAATAACTGGAGGTTGTATAAATATTTATAGAAGTATATACCGAGAAGGTTAGATAAATAAAAGTATTAATGTAAGAGAAAATTAATCTTATTGTATATAATACAGATAGGGAAATTTGAAGAGAGGAGTTGCTTGGACATTACCCCTGAATTCTATCTGAAGAGGGATGAGAGGGAAGAAAGGAGAGGAGAGAAAAGAGTAAAGGAGGGGAGAAGGAAGTAGGAAGGTTGGAGGAGAAGTGGGGAGAAGTGGTGAAGGAAAGAGAAGAGGAGAGGAAGAAGAGGGAAGTAGGGAAGAGAAGAAAGGGAGAAAGAAGGTAGAGAAGAAGGAATGTGGATACAGTGAAAGGGGAAATGGGCGAGCAACACCAAAAGTCATGTGTATGTATTTATTTCATTTTATCAAAAGTATCTTATATATGAATGTAAAAAGAATGTATGTTAACATCTGATAAATATCACGGTATATGTATGGGGGAGAGTTTGGAAAAATAAAAAATAATTAAACATAGAGCCCTCTCTGTGGGCATGCGCGCCATCGCCCCATTCTTAGGCCTTTAGCTGGGTTTTATAAAACCTTTTCGCTTTAGGCCTCTGCTGCCATGTGCAAAAAAAAAAAAAGGTTCTATCAATCAATTTCAACTTCTCGCGGGAAAAAAGTCTTGCAAAGTTGGAATTGATTGACTGAACTTTTTAGTCCCACCCAGTCTGCCCTTACCACCACAGCCATGCCCACCCAATGGGCCACACCCACCCAATTGGCCACACCCAGCCAGTGGGCCACACCCACCCGTCACTCGACGATGCATAAGTGGGTTTTGGGTTGCAATTTGGGCACTCAGTCTTTAAAAGGTTCGCCATCACTGGTCTAAATGAACATGCGACCCTGGTGAAATCCTTGGTGACATCCTAATCGATCTCAAAGGCTGAAGCCCTGAAGAAATTGAGCAGGGAACAACCACCGGCAGAGGAAAGGAAAGGGGCAGGATTTGAAAATGGTAAGGACTGAACGGGAGAAGTCCTTAGGGGATAAGGGGTATCTGCCTGAGATTCGTCTCTAAGTAAAAGGGGAAAAAGGCAGGGACCAGACAGGAAATGTCCCCAGAGGAGAAGGAGAATCTTTCTGAGATCTGGCTTTGAAATGGGAATATGTGGCAACAAAAACACATCCAGTTGAGGGGCAATAGAGTTGCCAAAAGGGAAGATGCCCAAAGACATGCCAGTGGGTTGTATTTTGGCTAATGTTTAGATATTAAGGGGATTAGGGCAGCCTTTTCTCACTATTGTGTTCAGTATGGCTATACCTAAAAATAGATAAGCCAGGAGATTTCTGGCCTTCTCAAGGATCAATCAGTCTCCAATTAATTGAGGAGATGAAAACTGGCCTCTTGGAGCAGAAACAGCATGTAGAAATTCAGTTTCTGGAACTCTTCGTGAAATTGGCAAATTGTCCATCTCTGTTACAAGATTGCGGTTGTGAAGGAACCTTTGTAGCACAGGATCCTAAGTTAAAGAAACCCAATGCTTCCCCATTTATACTGGAGGACTCTGAGACTGACCAGTCACCCCGTTTACTCATGGAATGGGATGCTCCAGACAGTGAGGAAATCCTGGAAAGGTGGGGAGGGGGAGGCTAAGGAACAAAGTAACCAAGCAGCAAGTGACTCTGGCAACATTCACTCTCAAATGAAGCTCAAACTGGAGATGCAGGGTCCACTTAGAGAAACTATAGTGATAGGAAGTGGAAATAGATTCTGTCGGGCACTAGTTTACACTCCATTTTCTACTTCAGATCTCTATAATTGGAAGCAACAAAATCCCAGTTATAGGGAAAACTCAGAGAAAATACACTCTTTGGTTTTGTCTATTATAAGGACACATAGCCCCACT